GCTTGCCTTATGATGCAACGATAACAGGATTAGTAGCAAGCACATGTGACAGTCTCAATAAGAAATCGAACTGATGAATCAGCGGAATCAGGCAAGAGATTTTGCAAAGCGACGTTCTATCTTTGGGAGTCTTCATACGACTTGCTCACATTCACCATGCGAACCAATTCAGTTGCATTCGATTAAATGGAGATCACTGACGAACAGAATGTCAGTAGCACATGCGACTACGCGTGATCGTCAAGGCTCACGATCAATAGATATGTGTGGCTCTACTTCGGAAGGATCAGGTTAAACAACAGTCACAGCAGCAGCAACAGTGCAGATCAGTCTGTACAACTATTAACCATGCACTTGCATTAGCCCGTTTTGGTTGCTCATTTGAATCAAGCAGCATGAGAAAGACAGGAAAGTTGAAAATAGAATCGAAAAGTAAATGGAGAATCTCAGTAGACTGTTGCAAAGAAATTGAGAACACGAATGAACCCCACCGGTTACGACACTCAGTCACACCACTCAGTGTCTCTAATCATTGGTTACGATCTACCCGAAGTCCCCAGTCAGGGAGCCTAAGGCTATATAGCAGAACTAGCTGAACTGCCGTAGCACTCACCAATCAGACAGCGGGATGTTGCAATGGCGCCAGAGATTTCTCAAGTTGGCAAATGTCAATCGAACATTTTTTGTGCGCACCAACAATTCATCCGCGATGTGTCCGCCGGGTAAGATAAAGCTGCCCAAACAGCGAAATTTGCTTACTTCACCTATTACTTAACCAGTAAGAGTGAGACTGGGTGCTGGACCAACCCAGTCTTATAGCAACATTTTACACTTTGAAGGTGCAAAACGCATACCGAACATAGCTACGCTGGAACTCAAACTATTCATGAAAAACTTGCAACTTACCTGGACAATGCACGAAGAAAAGAAATCAAACATAAAAGAATGGCCACTGATCGGTAGACGATAAACAACACAAAAGTAATGATCGAGCGAAGGAAGTCCGAAGTTCAGTCAAGTCACTAGACCGACAAAGTTAAGATTATGTATTCTGGAGGTAGTGACCGACTGGTGAACAAAAGCACGAACAGCAATCTAGGCTAAAAAGCAGGGTAAAAATCTCAGTAATGGCCTTGAAAGTGACTGGTGTTCGACGAGAAGAGGATTTGAGTTTAGGTCCAAAACAGGACCAGTAGAGGAGGGAGAAACTAAAGCACAGAAATGACGTTGCGGTTCAGTACGCGAATGTTAGCTAGGATGAGAATGGTTCGGACAAATAATTCCATTAGTTGTGTTACTTCATATATGAAATTTTGCACGCACATCACCTTTGTGATATACACAAGGACTTCCGTTTTCCTCACTGACAACAGAAACAGAATAAAATCAAAAAGAATAGACAAGAGAATATTTGGATCCTGATGTATTTGCAAGTTTGATTTACTGCTGAGTTGGTGCGGACGAACGAATTTGATTGTTGGTTGAGGTCCAAGCGATTGAGCCTAGTTTGTTTGGTAGAACATCAAAAATACTGATGGGCAGAACACATAAGGGTGAAGATGCATTAGGTAGGGAGCGCTGCAAAAGAAACACGTTCGGTAGGTTCCATTGGGATGAATCATGTTGTCGAGAGAGTGGACAGACACAATAGTGCCAGTGTGTGAACGGACGGACACAAACAAACAAAAGATGACGAATGCCGATTATTAACTGTGCATAGAAGGAAGCACAAGAAGTACTGGACATATGAACGCAAATGGCCGACCAAATAAAGGACGCCCAAATTGATCCTGGATAGCACAAACACGGACTCCGACGGAAAGTCGTGACCATGTCCAGAACGTCACGCACCTGAATCCTCATTTGTGCAACCTTAACAACTGAAAATCATTCATCGTTTAATTTTTCAATACGGTAAGCACGCATCGCGAGACAAGTGACCCAGATATCAGTTCACAGGCATCGATCATCGATTCACAGACACGTCAACACCATGATACAATGAAAAGGTCTTCTGTCCTCGTACAATGCACATCAATTGTTGTCGCCATAATTAGTCCATAGTCAGCAGGAAAGCACCAACAGGCCCATGCCGAACTTTGTGCAATTCCCATAGGAGTGATTTAATACGTTTTATTCAGCATAAAGCAAACAATGAGAGTAGAAAGCAGCAAATGAACAGATGTCATCCTGATAGAGAGAACGTTGAAGCAAAGGACCTTTACCAGTGAAGTCATTTGGACTGATTCGAAAAAAAATACAGTCATCATAACAGGTTTAGGACCGAGAAACAAAAAGCGTACCCGAAGTGAGATCACAATCCGTATACAAACTATGTGATCATTCAGAAACGATGAGAGATAAGCAGTGATTCGTTTAACAAGTCTTGTTTTCACTAGTTAGCTTTTCAATACTCTACTGAACTACCATCACTCCAATACGGAACGGTGTGGTGTATTGCATATCACGCCGTTGAGTCAGCCTCGCTGGAACGGTGATGGATATTATCTGCAACACTGAATGAAACAATATCACAAGTTAACAGCCGTAATGAAACGAAACAGAAGGAACAGGATTTGTCAAGTTTGACTGAGGAGGTTCACCTGGAATAAGGGGCAGTCCATAGCATTTATTATACTTGTACTACACGGAGTTTGTGAAAGAGAAACCAGTATAAGTAATGCTGTGTGACCGAGACTAATCGGTGCATTAGAATTTATAATCAAAACGAACAGCGTGAATGAAACTTACTGCACCGTAATGAATTGCTCGGTCCGGTTTTGAGTAGCCTTGAAGGAGCGAGACTAGGATATTTGGATTAGCCAACAGATATTGAGCAGCCGGATTGTAAGAGCCCACTTGACGACGCATCACATGACCGAACAGGTCGACAACATGTTTCGAACTCTAAATAAACCAGCATGCAGCATAATTAACAAAAACACCAGTAGACAGTACTGAACAAAGTTAATGATTAATCAAAAAAGTCAAACATTAACTGAGGTAATTTGTTTCGTACAGTTAAAATCAGTTCACTTCAGTTAGAGCACCTTTGTGCGCCGGTTTTGGCCGTTGTCTTTTGGGTGCCATTTTTCAGTTTTTACGACCATTTACTATGCACTTGCATTGGCCCGTTTTGGTTCCTGTCTTTTAATCACCCATTTGGAGAAAGACAAGAAAGTTGCAGGTAGAATCGAAGAGTAACTGAGGAATCTTAGTAGACTAAAGTTGCAAATAAATTGAGAATATGTATGAACGTCACCGTTTACGACACAGCCATATCACTCAGAGTCTCTAACTATCGGTTACGATCGTCCTGAGGTCCCCAGCCAGGGGGCCTAAAGCGACCTATGTGACCCAGTCTCTTGGTTAGGGTTTTCATACCCCCATGCCAGGTCTTCGCATGACCAATTATGACCTTTTACCAGTCACTGCATGCCTTGCGAACAGTGTTCGCCGTGGCAACCTATCTGGTGACATGCGTAACACATGTCCCAACCAACATAATTAATGGAGGTCGACCATTTTCTCCAGTGGAAGATCGCGGTTACCTCAAGCCTGGCACCCAAGCTCAGAATTGCTTGTCCAGTTGTCCCACCAGACTCGTGCAATGCTGCGTAGACAGCGATGTTCCAACACCGACAGCCTATCTTTATCTGGTTTTCGTAATGACCAGGGTTCTGCGTCGTACAGCACAAATGACCAAACTCCTGTAGAATGCACTCTACCGTTCACAGATAGCCGGATATCAAGGCGTCGTCAGCGGTGTATCAAGTTGGTAAATGTCAATGGAACATTCTGTACGCGAGCTGACACTTCACCTGTGATGAAAAAACTTGTCCACTTGGTCTATTACTTCCCCAATAAGAGTGAGGCTGAGTGCTGGATCAACCTTTGTAGCAACATTTCACACTTTGAAGGTGCAAAATGCATACCAAACATAGCTACGCCGGCATCCAAACTATCCAGAAAAGCTTGTAGCTGACGTGTATTTTCACTTAGCAGTTCAATGCTGTCTGCATACTCCAAACGAGACAATTTATCGTCTATGCAAAAGTTAATGGCGCTATTTCCGCGCGAGGACAGAATCAGAGTGCTCGACCATTAAGTATTCATTGCTGAGATATCGGCGAAAAGAACCACTCTGAAATAAGTAGGGGTGGTATAAGACTGCTTATAAGGTACATTCATTCGTGATTTGGGCTACAAGAAAAGGACAGTAATTGTCCCCGACATCCACAATAGGGCTTGAATTTCAAAACCATGTTTTGATTGCCTACAAATACCTAGGTATGGTCGGGAAAATGTCTCGGGCTTCGGAATGGCTATTTGTCCCAAACTACTCTAAAATGCCTTCAAATGACCAAGCTCCTCGAACAGCTTCTGCTGAGGAAGTCCTACCCACTGTCTTGTCGTGGCGGAGGAATTAACACTAAAGTGGGAGAGCAAAGGCGAATACCCGGCGCTTTCCACCGGGTTGACTGACCATTGGTAGTCAGTTCAGGGGAGTCGGTTAAACCCTGATTACAAACCACCCACACGTGGCGTAAGAAGTGGCATCAATCCTCGTCACAACCAAACCGGTTTCCAAAGTTCACCTTTGGAGTCGAACACCGTGACGCTCACCGACGGGTGCGCTGATCAAGAGTGACCCGGGTACCCTGAATAGTTCGCCACATCCGAAAGGCGTATGAACTCCCCCCCCCCC